CATCATTTCTCTAACTCCGGATTGTATGTCTGAGATGTTGTCTCTATCCTGTTAACCAAGAACTTGTCTTAAATGAGTGTCTCTCCAGTCTGTATTGTGAATCATGTGAATTTGTAAGAGTCCATGCTCTTTGATGTGGTTTACTGCTCTTGGATTTGTACAAAATTTGTTAGTTGGCAAATGGGACACAGCTGGCTTCTGATTTAGAGAGTGCCTTAAATTAGTTACCTCCTACCTTAACTTGATCATTTAAATGGAAAGCACTACTGCTCCAACAGAGCAGACATGATATAAAAACTATTTCTGACATGAGTATCTTGCTTCCCCGATTGCGATTGCTACTGGTGTCTCTAAAGGAAAAAATAAAAAAATAAAACACAGGTTTTACAATTCTCACAAGTGGTAAACTGTCTTTGCGTTATTTAAGAAAAGCTTTAAATGTTCAGTGGATGTGCTTAGACTAATGATAGTTGATGCCCAGGACATAGCAATAATCCAATGAAATACAATAGCATTTTGGAAAGTGGCAATTTGTGTAGAAATTGCAGATATCATCAACACATGCTGGGAACTTTACATGTAATAAGTGAGCTATAGCTTGGGCTGAGGAGTTACTTATTTGGCCTTTCATTTGTAAGTAAGTCACCAATCCTTCCCCTCCAAGGCATAGGTAGGCCAGTTATTAATAAAAGAATACTGATATCCTTTGTTCATAGTGGTAAAATTGCCAGAAGCAATTGAGGATTCTGATCTTGTAAGTCTTAGTATTTGGAGGAACCTCATTAAGTCATTCGGAGGACAGCATTCTATAGTTGAAGATGACTAGCTCTACAATCCGAATATTTGGATAGAGTACTGACTGTACTATTAACTAATTTAGCTTTCTTCACCAAGTGCCCACTAAGACTTACATGATCCGGCCCAGGGTATCTCTCCAGTCTTCTTTGATAATCTTTACTCCTTGCTTGCTCCATTTCAGCCTCTGTGCCATTTCTTACACATTTTAAAGACATGTTCTTGCTGCCAGGCTTTCTGTACTTACTGTTATCTCTGTCTGGAATGATCTTCCAGATGCAGGCTGACATTTATTGAGCAGATCCAGTATGTTTCAAGGTGTTACAAATGCATGGCATGTTAATCTGGGTGAATTCTCATGATAGCTGTATGAAGTGTGTGGTGTGACATTGAATGGATGAGAAAAGGAGGCAGAGTGATTCTGTCAGAGGCAGAACTGGAACCAAGGCAGTTTGGGTGGGAGCCCAGGCCCTCATAAAAAGGGCTCTCTTGGTACACAACACCCAGGGTGTGGTTCCCACCCTTCCTTTAACCTCAGAGCTCTTTCTTGGTGAGCATTTCCTGACTATCCTATTTAATTTTTTTTTATGATTATGTTTGTTTATTTTGAGAGAGAAAGAGAGAGAGAGAGGGCAGGGGAGGAGCAAAAAGAGAGGGACACACAAAATCTGAAGCAGGCTCCAGGCTCTGAACTCTCAGCTAGAGCGCAACATGGGGCCCAAACCCACAAGTTGTGAGATCATGACCTGAGCTGAAGTCGGTCGCTCAACTGACTGGGCCACCCATGTGACCCCTGACTTTCCATTTAAAGAGGAATCCCTATAAAGGAAGAAAGGAAGGAAGGACGGATGGAAGGAAGGAAGGAAGGAAGAATCCCTGTGACTCTGTTTCTCTTTACTCAGCTCTATATTTCTCAACAGTACTGCATATTACCTGATTTATATTGCCTGTTTGCTTGCTTATCACTTTATCTCCCTCACTAGAATATATATTCTATGAAGGCTGGGCATTGTTCTGATCTGTGTTATCACTCTATCCCCTGCATCTAGAAATTTACTGAAATGTACTGAAAGAAGTGTGTGAGTTGGGTTAGAATTTTTATTGTATTTAAGATATCTTATTTTTCAAACATTTGCAGAGCACCCTTTTTGTGCTAGATTCCATGGCAGGTTTTGGAAATATGAAGGTGAATGAGATTGATGGGACCTTGTACTTTCCTGCTTTTCCTGAGGCTTTAAGGGCATCATAGAAGAAACAAACATGCAACTAACGGGCAGTTGCCAGGCTAAGCATTCTATCAGGGCAAATGTAAGGTGCAGTAGGGAAGTGAGGGTTCAGGTAAAGCTACTCTGAAGGGCTGATACGCATGCTGAGAGCTGAAGGATGGAGATGCAAGACCACCCTAGGGCAGAACAGATAACAGAAGGCCCTGAGAGAGCACATTCTGGTTCAAAAGCAGTTCACTATGACTGTGAGGGGCAGAGCTGACTATCCGAGTCTGGAGAATAAAGTTGGGTTTTCAAGTGCCTTGAAAACTATTCCAAGGAGTCAGGGCTTTGTTGTCTGAGCAATGAGATGTCCCTGAATGGTTTTTAAGTCAATGTAATTTTGATTTCGTATCTGATTTAGTTTATAGCCTTCGGCCAGGTAAGTTGGCAGTATTTCCGCTTTCTGGATGGGATGAGTGAGGCCTGAATAACACATTTAAATGTTGGTGGAGTTGATTTAATTCTCTCAATGATAGTGCTATCAGGACTCCTAACATACCTTCCCACCCTCTCTCCTTTTTTTCTGGTTGTTGTTATTGGCAAAAGTCAAACATAAAGCTGCCCACCATCCTTATCTTTCTCCAAGGAACGTCCATGTACTCACACAGCTTCCAATAACCAGACCCCTGAGTGGAAGCCAGTGACCTCAAGGGTGGCGGGACTTGTATGCGGATGGACACCATATTGTGCATTGGGCTAGAATTCTCTGTTCTTCACCAAGAAGCTGGATTTATACCAGGAACCTCTTATCTGAAAAGGCGACTCTGGACTGGGGAGAACAGAGCTGGTTTGACAAAGTAGAGAGGCTCTCAATATTGGTCTGCCCACGCTTTGGGCATGTGTGAGCACTCACAGCAAAACACAGCTGGCATGTCTAATTTTAGCCTTGTCTGCCTTGAAAAGAGACCCTTAAAGGAAATATATTTTCTCTGAAACAATTTGTATTATTAATGTAATAGCTGATAGACCTGTCAGAATACTGCTTATTATTGGTGGGGGAAAACTCTGCCAAGTAAGTATGATTTTTTTTGTGTGTGTGATGTTATCAGTAAAGTGATTAATGCATTCATGAATCAAAATAATTATAAAGAGATAGACAGTGAGAAAATCAGTGATTTTATTTATAAAGACACCCGTCAACCTAGTGGGATACCTCTTTTGATGCTTACAAAATGGATGTAAGACTGAGAGTGACCGTTTCTGCTCTAGTAAGTCGGTCACTGTGACCGAACAGTAGTCCCGGAGTAGACTCTACAATTTCTTCGCTACTTTTCATTCTCCATGTCCTCCAAGAAGAGTTTCTGAACCGGGTCTCAGATTCATCTGGCTTTATATGTTAACAGGTTTTGAAAGCATCTGAGACACCCTGTTTCCATTTTCACCAGCAAGGGTTGTCCCTCTGCCTTTATTTATTATTATTTTTTTCTTTCTCTTCCTTTCTTCCTTCGTCTTCCCTCCCATGGTCTTCTGTGTTTTGTTTAGCAGGGTAGCATACCTTGCAACTTGGCAAGAAAAAAAAGAAAAGAAGGCAGCTCTTGTGGGGGGGCGGGTAGATGAAGGGAAGGATAAGAAATAATCCACCGCCTGCATTTGAGCTCCCCGGGTTCAGTTCCAGCGGCAGCCAGCTGGCTGCAAAAATTGCTTTGCTATTCGAGATAGCCAGCAGAGGGAATCGGAACTTTGCTTGCAGCAGGGGTTGAAGCAGCCTTTTTTTTTTTTTTTTTTTTTTT